ATCCTCCATAAATAATTCATAATTAGAGCAAGGTAAAATCCGTTAACCTCTCTAATTACTTCTTTATCCTTGAGTACCATTGATTCTTTAATGGATAGTGATTCATAAAACACATTCATGAATCGGAGCTCCTACTAGTCCGAGTACCGAATCAACCCTCAAGAGAATTATTTATCTACTTCTTTCTTAAGAAGGAATGGATTCCATCTCGTGTAATAACATTCCCGGCTACTTACTTCATCATGTCTCCAAAATACAAGGAATAGGATTCAGGATCTCAGAATCCGTACCGAGTAAATCAAAAGACACAAATCCATAAATAGGAGTCTGTTAAGAACTCAGGATTAAGATCATCCTATATATGACCATCGTTAGAAATTCATATTGTGTCTGTGTCCTTGTTCCACATAATCTCATTATGTGAAAAACACTCATTCAATATCTCACCATATTAACAGTGTGGATAACACCGTTCCATTCTTAATGGGAATGACATGTATTAATAATGTTTTAATTAAAGATTCTGAACTTTATTAAATTCATTATGAACATTGCTTTTTGATTATTATCCTTAAACATTATCCTCTCGTATATAACACTTATATACAATGTTTAAGGTTACATAAATAACCATGGAATTTTCATTGATATTCATAAAATATTCATAAATATATGCACATAAAATAATGAATAAACTCTTTTATTAAATAAATAATAAATATCCTATTACATCTCATGCTTCTAGGACACTATTCCCAACAGATAGACCCAAACATATCGACCTCAAGAAGGCCAAAATGAAGCTAAATAATATTGTGTGCGTTTGGAACTCGTTTTAAAATAATTTTATTTTTTGTATAAAAATGAAAATGAAAACCTTTTCAATCTTAGACATAAATCATTTTTGAAAATGTGTTTGGTAGTTTTATCAAGAGATTATTTTCAGTATAAAAAACCCATTAATGTCTCTTTCTCTCTCTCTGCTCGAGAGAGGAGAAAGCGAAAACAAAAAATGAAAAATGACTAAAAGTCGTTATTCATTTCTCTCTCATTTTACACTAAATCAAAAAATCATTTTCAAATCCGTTTTTTGTCTTTATTGCGCCAAATGCTGTTTTGAAACGTTTTCATTTTTTATTTCTCAAAAAACGTAAAAAATAAAAAAAAGAGATCAATTCCAAACACGATCATTATTTCTCCTACTGACGTCAAAGTTTTCTAAGAATCAAACAAAAACCATTTTTACTTTTTTTAATAAAGAATTTGAGGAATGATTCTAAAACCTTTTTTTTAGGGCCGGCAATATGGGTCACGACACGACTCGAAAACGACACGAATTTTACGGGTTAGGGTTGAGAAAAAAAAGGTTCGGGTCAGAATTGGTTCGACCTGAAATTGACACGAAAAACACGGGTCAATTTCGGGTTGGACCCGCCTAACCCGAACACGACACGAAACTCGTAAAAAACTAAAAAATACATATATTTTTAATTTCATATTTTAAATTTTATTATGAATTTGTGATATCATGATAGTTATACTTAAAATCTTATATTATTGTTTACTTAATTTCAATGGATGTTATTGTAATTTAGTGTGTTATGAATTTTAAGTTATTTCTAATATGTAAAAAACTAAATAAAAGTATACAATTTTCGTGTCAATTTCAGATTCACGGGTCAATTTCGTGTCACGGGTCATTTTCGGGTCGTGTCGTGTCAACTCGTAAAGTGGTCGTGTCGTGTTCGTATTGTAATTTTTAAAAAATTTCGTGTCACGGGTCGTGTTCGGGTTGACTACAAATTTAAAAAAATGATCAAAACACGATAAGAACACGACACGTGATACGAATTGCCACCCATACTTTTTTCCTTTGATTTTAAATTACAACTATCAATCAAGTGTTTTTTTTTCCACTAATTTGTTTTCTTTTTATTCTAAAATCATAATTTTTATTTCATCGATTCGAGTTTTACTGCAGTAAGCTCTCAGAAATAACATATTTAATTTTTTTTATTAAAGTAAAAAATTTTCACATAAAATTATATATCAATTTAAATTAAAAATTTAAATCAACAAACTAAATAAACCCTTTAAAACTAAAAACTAAACGGATTGAGTTCTCATCAATTTTAAGAGTTGTTTAGTTGGAGGATTCGTACCCCGATTCAAATCATAGTTCACAATTTATTATAATATTTTTTCTCATAAAAAAAAATATATAAATTAAAAATAATTTTAATTCATGAACTAAACGCCCGCTTAACATTTTTAACATCGTAAAACACGTGTTCTTTCACACCTATCCGCCACCTTTTCCCTTCTTATTAAGGTAATGTAATTAAAACCGAATCCATTTAAAGGAGAGATAACTACAATCGGGAGGCACGAGTGTAAAATGCAAGTCGCTCATTTCGTAAATCTCAAAGCATAAGTCACATGAATCAACGGTGTAGATCATGCACTCGTCCTCACTCGCGGTACTTGCGATTGAACAGAGAACCAGCATTTCTAAAAACAAACCTGTAGTCAATCCTCATTTGACCAAAGCAATCCTAGAGTGAAAAGGGCCCACCTTATTTCTAGAGTCCACGCGTCCTAAAAAACAAAAACAAAAAACCTTCAGGCAAATAGGTAAAGTTGTAAGTTCTTACCACAACGATCTGGTGGGTCCCACAAATTCTGGTCCAACTGTCGGAATCTCCTGCCAAAATTGGATTAAGAAGACTTTCAACGGTCCAAAATCAGCTGACGTGGCCATTATTACGTATGAGGAATCTCTCTCAGTGGTCCCCACGGCTCGCCCTTTCCTCCACGTCAGCTGAAGACCATGAAATGACTTTACTATCCTCTTATAGTGCACGTATTGACTAACGTACCCCCCAAGAAAGTAGTTTTTTTTTTTTTTTTTTCATTTGTTATTATTTATTACACGCGCGAGAGAGAGTTCGTCACTTTCAGACGCAGCCTTTTCTCTGTCACTCCCAGAGTTGAATGTATCAGTGGTTCTCTGTCTCTCCCTCTCTAAGATTTATCTCACTAACATTTCTTTCTCTCTCTAAAGTTCTTGGAGCTCGAAACCCTAGGCAGTCACTGCTGGTATCGTTCTTAGCAATCGGAGGTGAGTTTCAGTCCTCTCTCTCTCTTTCATTATCACTGCCATTTTTTAGAGTATAATAATCTCTCTCCCAAAGGCTCTTTCTTTTCCGTACTGTTTGGCGTCCGAGAAAACCAAATTTTCCCCCGTTTTCTTTTACCTTTCTATGCCACATTCTATCAGAGCATGTTTTGGCTTTCGAAGACCAAGGCCCTGACTCATTTTTCTTGTCTTTTTGTTTCCTTCCATGTTGTGATTTCGCAAAGCGCAACGATGTCGAAATTCCACATTTTTGAGGATTTTGGTGTTTGATTATTGATTGCAGGTGGAATGCATGGTCGAGCAACTATCAGTCGGTAATGGAAATGGTTATTTTTCATTTTTTATATCTTTTGTGAAAGATTGTAATTTTCTGTTCAGTTTATTATAATTTCTTTAATAGAATTCTATGTCCAGTAATTCAAGTTTTTTTTTTTCTTTGGAATATTTCTTTGATTAAACTATCCAGTTTTTAAATTTTTAAACGAGTATTTGCATGATATTTGATATTGTATTTGTTGTTAGGTATTTTAATTTTTGGGTCTTGGTGACTATCTGATAGTTGGTTCTAGATTATTGAATGATTTTTTTAGTTTTTTATTTAAAATTTCAAGTTTTGCGAATTTAAGAAGTTCTAATATATCCTATACGATGATTTTGTTGTTTACTGTTGCTTAAGAAGTTTTTATTGTCCAATAAGCTTTTAGATTGACATCTTTCCTCAAGTCTAAATGGATATTTCACCCAGTGAGCTGAAGCATATAAATATAGGCTGAATAATTGTGATATTGTCATGTTTTCATCTCAGGTATACTTGTTTCATGGCTTGGGATCTATGGGAATCGCCACATGATCAAGGTTTCCAGAACGCCTTATTTTACCATGTTTAGAATTTTCTATTAGCAATTATTCTACTTGAAGATAACTGCTTTTCAGATACTCTCGAGGGAAGTGACTCGATGCAATCCGAATGCCAGTGTGACTTCTACTTTGGTTATGGACATGGTATGTTCGCATGTTTTTCCTTGCCACACATTTTAAATAGATCGTTTGTTTCGCACCACACTTTAGACCTTTTTGTTATAATGTTTTTTCTTACAAAAAAAAAAAAAGAAAAAAAAAAGGAATTTCTGTTCAAACCTTAATCCAAACGAGTCTTGTTACTTCAATATTTACAGCTGGGTTTTCCTATGATCGTAGATGTAATAGAAGAACAAGCTTTGAACGAAAAATATTGTATCCAAGTCTTGAGGATTCTGATAACAAAGGAAGACACAGAAATTGATGAACTGGAAGAGAACCTGGTGTCTCTTCAAACGGAATTAGCCTTTGCTGAACACAAAGAATGGTTTGAACTATGTTGTAATGCTTTGAGAGAGAAGATAGATTGTCTCGATATATCGATAAGGACCTTGAGGAATAAGTGTGAGAAGGATGCTGAGTTTCAGTCCTCAATGCATAGGGAACCTGCAGAGACAATCCATGACATATTGAAGGGTCTTCTAAGCAAATTCTTCCAAGAGAAAGATAAACAGGTATTCCTTATAAAACTTTTCTCTCCTCTACCAGTTGTTTGAGAATGTACTGCATCAGCCTTCAAAAGTAAAAGTAGTTCATGGGAAGGGTTTATGACCTAAATGAATTTTGACAACATTTATCTGCAGATTTTGCATACGTATGATTATCTATGAATTCCACCATTCTTTTTCAACGTCGTGTTTCGTTATTACAATGACTTGGTGTTTTCTGTCGCAGTTCTAAATCTAGACTTTTTTGAGTTGTTCTGTAGATTGTGTCCTTGCATTTCTCCTGGATCAGTACAGTCTCTATTCCCTGCAATATGAAGGGAAATTGGTGATTAATGGGACGTGCATATGTAGTTTTTACTTTTATTCATGCTTATTTTATTTATTTAGCTTTATTGTGCAGAGATTGATTCTTTTCCTTTTGCAATTTTGAATTTTTCTGTTTTGCTTGGAAGCAATGATTTTTACCCTCGTAATATTATCAAGCTTTATATGTGCATTGCTTGTTCCGATCTTGATCTTCTAGATTTTAGTAATGAAATACCACCATTTTTTTTACCCATTTATGTAAGCAGCCTTCACAGGTCACTATCTTGGACTTGAAATCAAATGCTTCAGCAGATTCAAGTAAGCTATGTGAAAGCAGAGAACTAAGCGAATTGAAGTTAGGTACATTAAAGGAGGAAACTGGAGAGGCTGATACCCCAACAGAAACATGTACAAGTATGAATTCCTCTTCACAACTTCAAGAGATGAAAACAAAGGTCTATGGAGCTCTATCGCATTCCGCTTCTATTACTTTTGCTTTTTCTTAATGGTTTCTGCATCACAGAGAGAATGAGAGACTTTCACCTACTAATATATAGGATAAAAAGTAAAGTACTTTCTTCCTGAAAGGTAATTAAGAGAAGAAGTTATTTACTAGTAAAATAAAAAAAATAAAAAAATAAAAAAAATTTATAACAAACAATAAAGGCATCTCTTGCATATCTGTCGATCTATTTCAGGCCTCTTTCAAAGCTTTTCTCTCTGTTACTTATTCTTAAGCTATTAGGAGGTAGGTCAACAATAGTTTTTATATTTATTATTTCAACACTCTCACGTGTGAGTTGGACAATGGGCAATCGTATGGGTAAATTAATTAGAAAGCCCAACACGTGAATATTTAATAATAAGCTTGAAAAATGTTGAAGACCCAACACGTGATGACAACTTAAAGGGGATAAAGAGTGCAATTACAGGGGTTTGAACTCAAGATTTCCTGCTCTGGTACATCATGTTAGTTTATCAATCCATCTCAAAAGCTTAAGCTATTAGGAGGTGGGCTGACAATAGCTTTTATATTTCAACATTACCAATTGTTTATTTTCTACTAATTTCTTTTTAAATTTATTATTTTGGAAATTCTTTAAGATATGATATGTGTAGAACAATAAAAAATAAAAACCCGATCTTTATCTCATGAATGTTACTCTAGAAGTTATCTTCTAAAGTAGCTTCTTAACTCCAATAATTTGCGTCTTTATATGGCTATTCTTTCATGGTATGATGCTGTGCGTGTTTTAGCAATGTTTCTAAGCATATTTTGGCTCTGGTTCAATCTTAGTGTCATCATATGCTTGGATTATAGCCTTCGCTTACTCGTGGTTATCAATGAACAGTCTGCAGATACAAATACAACAGATTCCGGCCAGAATTATTTGAAACTTTCACCTGGCTCCTCTGACGAGGAAAAACAAATGGTCATGGGCGAGTCACATGGCACAACCAGGCAGCAGAATGCCACAGCACAAGAGCTTAGTTTCACGGATACAAAAGTTATAGAAAATGCATCTCTGAAACCTGAAGAGAGGAGCTGTGAGATGGAAGTAGTTGAGGTTTATCCCCCTTTCTCCTCAAAGTTCTCATTATTGAGTTCATATATGCCTTTTGTTTTGCTTAAATTGTATGGTAAATGATATTGGACTCATGCAAATTAATATTTCCCTTTTATTCTTGTTAGTTTATATTGTAAATCATATTAGAATTTTGCTATAAAAAAAATCATGTTAGAATTCTTGTTCGATTGCCTTGATTATTTCCATGAGTTTGTTCTCTATAGTAGGTGGTCTCAACAAATTCATTGTTCTACGTAGCATTTATTTGCTTTAATAATGAAATAGTTCGTAGGCGTTGCTATAATTCGAGTATTTCTGAGCATCTGGTTAGATGCTTTAGAAAACTTAACAGCTAAGTAGATGGAAGAATAAAGTTTCGTACCTAAGCGTGTGCTTTATCACATGTTCTTTAATGAAACCCATGGGAATCGGAACATACCTCTCTTAGGTTAGGACACGAAGCTTTCCTTGTAATCTATGTTGTGCTTAAACGTGTGCCATAGATGTGATCTTGTAGCGCACAGCTAGAGGAATGCAACTTGGTAAACTTTTGGAGCTTAGATTAGATTTGTAACATACGAAATTGTGACTGCATATTAGTATCTCAGTTTCATTCTGTAGAGAGGCTAATGGAATACTCTTTAACACTTCTTTTAGTCGCCTTTTTTTCCTTGCAATGAACAGGATGCAGAGTCTATTGCCAAAGCTTCCAGCTCAAGTTCTCTTGAATCTTCAAATTCATGCTTCAATATGGGGAAAAGTTTGTGTAAAAATGATATGAAAGCAAATGGAAATAAAGAAGTAAATGGGGGAGTAAAGAAACAGCATTATATTGCCCCAGCAGATTTCCATCATGAAAGAAATCGAGGTCATGACAGAACTGATGAGGTATTTGAAGGATCCTTTTGCTTTTAGGTTATATCACTACGTTACTATTTCTACCTTTAAAACATAATCGTTCTTGACATACTCTTGATGGAAAACTCGGAAAAGACCGAAGTTGACATTCAGGTGCTGCAGCAGGCACACTGCATGCGACTGTGGAATCACAAATTTGAGTTTGACTGATTCTTGTCTTATCTTTAGCCTCTAACTCTGTTTCTCCTTCAACTAGCAGCATTCAAATGCTATTGTTAATTACATTGGTCCGGATGCTATAATACGATCAGCTGCTCTCAAAGAGATGAATAAAACTTCTCAATTCAAAGTAAGTACTTCAAGTCCAGCAAAAACTGACAATTGTGATGTGGATCAAAAACTAATTGACATTAAAAGAACTGCTCGAAAAGAAGGCATTAAAGATTCAAAGGTTTTTGCGCTCAACAAGTTTAACTCTTCAAATTCATGGTCAAAGACAGTGGTGAATGGAAGAGATGATCGACAAATTGTGACTAACACTCAACATTTGGCCTTGGCTTTGCAAGCCCAGCTTGGGAAAAATACAATCAAGGCTGAGCTCGAGTTAGGAGAACCGGTAGTTGAGGAATCTAACAAGGCTGTTATTGCCGGTTGCAAGTCCCATTTAAACTTAGATCGGCAACTACAAAGTCCAAAGACAAAGAGGAAATTTCAGTCGGATTCACAAAGCATCATTGGACCTATTTTCCCACCTACAGAAAGAAAATTGAACGCATCTTCCGTGTCAGCATACAAAAGACAAAAATCTGATTCTGTTGATGACAATGCTAGTTTGAAGCAGCTAATGAGTGGTAAGCATCTGAAGAAGTCGGCTCAGGTTGAATGTCATACCAAAGAGCGTGGCACTTCTCTTGCTGTTGCAGAACATTCATTTTCACAGCCACAGGAAAGTAAGAGGACTGGAAATTTGCAGCTCAATGCACATATGAAGGACTCGAGTGTAAATTTGAACGGCTCAGAGTCACTTGGGCATGCAACTCACAGCGGTTCTGCTGATAATGACCCCAATGCTAGGGCTTTGGTTCAGTTGCCTCTTCCTATTGATAAATTGAAGGGGATGAAAGTACAACAACTGAAGGCCGTTGCAAAAGAAAATGACATGAAGAACTATTCTAAGCTTAAGAAAGAACAGCTGATTCAGTTTCTGACTGAACGACTAGGAAATCGAATTTACAGGTAGTTGTACAGCTTTGTTTTGTTCTCATCTCCATATTTTGGGATATGTTATTTCGTTGTGCATGTCCGTCTATGGCGCACTTGTCATTGTCCATAACGTTCTTTTCACCTCCCATAGAATCTTAGAGAGATGGATTGAAAAGGAACAAAGTATAGAAAGAAGCTTAGCAGGTTTTAGTTTTAGGTTTACATGACATCATGCTTTATATTGCATACATATTTGTGCAGTGATGACAAAGAACTACACAAACCTATAAACTTTTGGGAACAACTGGCATTGAATGTCCTTTTGTACGGGGAACTTTGTGAATTTTGAATATGAATGCAAGAGGAAGCTGTAAATTTCCTGCCATTTGTTAAAGAATAATGGTAGTGTGATATAGCAAAAGTTTTTTTTGTTTTTTGCTTTTTTGTTTTTTTGTTTCTTAAAGTATTTCTGTTATTACGCTTTAGAGGTATGTGTCTATTATGTTTTACATCCAAAATCTTTGGAAAATTGTTGTTAATTCTGACTCTAGTTGTGTTGGGATTAGAGGTGGGATCATGTAAGACCCACCTATCTACTTGAGTCGGAATAAATAAGATTGTTCAAAATCTTTTGGTTTGTCAGACTTGTTCAACAACATTTATTCGCATGGTTTAGATAGCGCCCTGCGTATCTTCTGGGAACAGAAACTATGATATGATTTGGTTTTTTTTTTTTTTTTTTTTTTTTGCCGATCGATTTGGTAAATAATTATTCCTGGCATAAATTACCATCTTAAAACCCTACATGTTTGTTGTCTCTCACAAGTGAAATTTTCTTCAAAAGAGTTATGGTAATTTCCTTTAGCTTAGTGTCACAAGTTGTCATCTCATCTCAAATCCAATAATTTGTAAAGGGCTTCCGGCCACAAACCCCCAAGTAGTTTTCTTCATCATTCCAGGCATCACCTGAGAACAAAAGATGGAATTGCATATACAAGGTCAGCATTAAATGCATGCCTCGCCTAAATACAAGCCAAACCAAGTCATCATAAAACCACGGTGAAACAAGCGTCCAAATGAGTTCGATATCCTTTTGACACTATGCTGAACTAACAGAAATAAGTGGGATAAATTTTAATAAAAACCCCTTAAAGAGCTCTAGGAATTAATGCAGCTTCAAGAAATCAACTTTGATGTTGAATATCATTTTTCCTTCTCTTAACAGGTTCGAATAGCTCCTATTTGTAAGTGCATTCAATGGTAAAATACATTTTATTGGATAACGTATATATATGATCTCAAGTTTTACCATGGCAGACAGAATTGACACACAACATGGATGCATGAAATAAGTTTGTTATGTGTATCATAAGAATGGTAATGTATGACTCACTTGGCTTGCTCGACCTTATGATCAGCCTCCTTGACCGCCAAAACCAGATGCTTAATCCGATATTGGAGTTTAGCATTTTCCGCAGCAAGATTCCGGGCCTGCACATTGACATTGAAACTTTCAGAGTTCCAATTGCCTCTCCTAACATGGAATAAGAGCAAAATACAAACATACACCACCTTTTCCCGTTCTGAAACTAGCTCAGCGTTTGCACTTTCTAGCTTAGACTGAAGTTCACTTATTATTTTCAAAAGTTCCTCATTTCCAGCATCTGAATGAGATTCCATGTCAGATTAAACAATAACAAACATAGTGCATCTGTTAAGAACACACTGCAAGAAAAAGGGAGGCCTTGGGGACCTCTTACTTGCAATGGCAGCTTCAAGTCTTGACAACCGTTCCTTTGATATGAACAGACCACGATTAGCGAGATTCAGGCAGAGAAACGCAAAGAAGTTTACTTGTCAGTTGTCAATAACAAGAACCACTTATTGTATCTCTAATCATAGCAACATGGGCGAAAATATTGTATTATCGTAAGATTTTGTGTTTTAGCAGAAATCAATGAAAAAAAATTAGATATTTCCAGTTTAAAAGCAATTCTCTTGAACAGAAAAACACTTTTGCCTCATATGACGGCCCTAGAAAATACCAACTAATGAGATTTCTAACATATAAGCCAGAGAGATATAGAGAGAGAGGTCCACATACAGAATCAATGAAAGCTATTTTCACATAACCCCATTACGGTTGATCAGCTAGACAAAAAAGGACACAAGCCACTATGGGTCCAAAGAGAAATGCTAAATGCACTCGCAAATATCACGAGTGCAAAATCTTAGTCGTTCTTCACTCGGGAACCCACAACAGGACCCACATGAAGGATGCCAAGATCTTGCACTCGCACCACTCACGAGTGTGTTTAGCATTCCTCAAAGTTCAAATGGTCGTGTTTGATAGGTGGAAGTAACCATGGAACTTCTAATAAGAAAAATGCTTGGGTGGGAACACCGGTGGTGTCTAACAGCAAACTAATAGAAGATTGGCCCAGTTGTGGCTTGTGAGACCCATATTGTGGAGCTCACCTTCTACCAGTGTGTGGTATCAGACACCAGGCATGCACGACATTATTGTTTCGTGAAAACAAAGGAAACGACACAACTAATAGAAATAGGCCACATATGTACAACCCATCTTATGGGACTTGTCTTTTATTAGTGTGGTTCTTCTTACATCGCCCCCAACATTTTCTTGTTCGGTTAGGCATTCAGGGTAAGACTAAGACAACGGTACCATTTTTCAAATGATTATGCATATGGATTCCATTTTACTGAAAACTAGGATTCAGCACCAAAAAAAAAAAAAAAAAAAAAAAAAAAAAAAAAAATTTTTTTTGAAGAAATGATTATGTAAATGATTGTGCAAAAAAAAAAAAAAAAAAAAAATCTATTGCAACGATTCACCATTTCTAGCTTAATAAATACTCCATTTGATAGAAACCCATATCCGAAATTCCAAACTAGCACCAGAAAAAAACCAAAAAATTTTACGGCCCTTAACGAACCAACAAAACAATAGAGATATTCCGTTAAATGATAACATGTTGGGCTGTTTAAACCATTTTTGGAGAAAAGCAAATGAGAAACAAACAGACAGACCTCGGCTTCAGATGCTCTCAGGAAGAAGGGCTTTAAGGCGTCTCCGATATCGCTTCCTTTCTCAGCCTCCGCCATTGTTTTGCTTTTGCTGCCCTAAGACTCTTTTTACTTTGGAAGCTCCCCGCTTCGGGGATGACCAAAAACTGTTAGCTTGGCCTTTTTCCGCCGAAAAAACAAAATAATATTAAGGGTTAATTTATTCTCAATTGTAATTTATCTCTCATCTAATACTATAATTTATGTATTAATTATATATTTAATATTTAAGAGTAAAAAATACCCTTGAATATGATGTTATTTATTATGTTAAATTTTTTATATATTATATTTTGTGATAAATTTCTCACAAAATATAGCATATGAAAAAATTAACATTTAATTGTTATTTGTTAAAATGTTTACTTTTTCATTATAACTTTTATATTTTTTAATTATTTTAAAATATAAATGTTTATTTTTACAGCTTTTAAAGCTTAATGATTATAAAAAATATATATTTAACACTTCAAATAGCATTATGTATCGAACAAAAATGAAAATAACATACCATGTTATATTTTTTTAATGTTAAATATACAGTTAGCACTAACATTGTGGTCTTAGTTCTTATCTTTTAAAACATCACAAAGTTAACCCTGATCTACTAATTTATTTCATCAGTCATTTTGATCACTTATATGTTGAAAAGAAGATGGAATATGCACGTGATGTTGGTCTGATTCTGATGAAAAACAAAAAGCAAAATAACGCTACTAACTGGATATCCACATTTAGTTCTGTATTGAAAAAATGAGGTTAAGTTTGGGACATTTTAAAAATTAGAGATTAAAGTGGACTTAAGAATAAAATTTTGGGATTATTTATGAAATAAACCCTACTATTAATAAACACTTGAAAAAAAAAAAAAAGGTTATTGGCCTCCGCTGAAATTTTTTACCAGTTTTTTTTATTTTTTTTATTTTTTTATTTTAACTTAAGTGCTAATTTGACATTGTTTTTAAAAGATTGTTTTTGGCTTCTTTTTAAGAAGTTACAGCAAGTCAAAATATTTGATAAATCATGTTTTTGTCTAAGTCATTAAACAACAGAATTTGAGAAACATGTTAGGAGTTGTTTTTACACAACTACTTCTGCTGTCAATGTCTAACTTTACTAAAATTACCTCAATAATAAAACTTAATTCTTCTTCTACCCATTTTATTTCTTCATACTAAATTAAAAAGTATACATTTTCTTGATATTTATTTAAAAATTAGAAATATTTAATAAACATGTTATGCTAAATTTTACTCAAATATTTTTTATTATTATCAAAATGTTTAAAAATAACAACAATGAATAAGAAAATTAATAATTTAGTTTTTAGAACTATTTTAAATAACAAATTAAGATTACATATATTTTTTAGTATTTTGGAGTAAAAATATTATGAATATTGACTTTAAAAATATAATGAAACTAACTAAAAATTTTTGTGTTAAAGTATGTCTATTTTAATCATTATACATGTTTACAACAACTTTATACATAGTTTACCAAACATCTAAATTTATGCTTTTGGTATTCACAATAGCTTTGAAAAAAATTATATCAAATACCTACATGCTTCTGGTCACAATAACTTTTAACTAACAACACAACAACAAAACTTTTTAGCAACACAATAATGTTAAATTGGCCCTTAAGGCATCTCCAATGCAATACTAAAGCATCTCCAATGCAATGCTAAAGTATCTCCAATGCAATACTATAATAAGTGTGCTAATGAGAAATTTAACATTTGAGCGTATAAAATACTCTCTAATTTAATATCATTTCTTATGGCAAATTTATCATATACTATACTTGATGGCAAATTTCTCATCAAATATAGCACATGAATTTTGTCTGTTCAACTTTCAACTTTTAATTACAAAAACTGCCATTTTTATATTATAACTCTACAAAGTTCTCGTTTACCAAGAGCAAGTATTGCTATTTGCAGACTACTATGCACTTCTTTTACTCTTCTCTATTAACGAAATGGAAAATTAAGTTGACGGCAATTTACAAACATCAGCCTTGACTACATATATTGATATTTGTACCCCAAAAAAATAATAAAATAGTGTTATATCATTTAAAATGGCAGTAGTGCATTGGAGAATAAAACGCGATGGTGTGTTTAATAAGGGAATTCGTACCCTGATTTAAATTATAGTTCATGATTCACTGTAGTATTTTCTTTCACAAAAAATACAGAGCAAGTGTTGCTATTTGCAGACTACTATGCACTTCTTTTACTCTTCTCTATTAACGAAATGGAAAATTAAGTTGACGGCAATTTATCAGCCTTGACTACATATATTGATATTTGTACCCCAAAAAAATAATAAAATAGTGTTATATCATTTAAAATGGCAGTAGTGCATTGGAGAATAAAACGCGATGGTGTGTTTAATAAGGGAATTCGTACCCTGATTTAAATTATAGTTCATGATTCACTGTAGTATTTTCTTTCACAAAAAATACACGTAAATCGAAAATGATTCTAATCTCACGATTCTAATTCATGAACCAGACGTCTAATGTCAAATATACCATTTTAATCATATTTTGTGACAAATTTACCATTAACATTGGTATATGCGTTAGAGATGGTCTTGGTATTTTAAGGGTAATCAAACTTTATTCCCTCTATTTTGAAGGGTAACAAATATTCTAGTAACAAATAAAAAAAAAAAAAAAAACAGTAAAGAAGTTTGGGGCACCTGAGCACAAAAACTGCTACAAATATCTTTAAATTTTAATGTGAGATAAATTCTTATTTTTTTTAGTCAAAGGTATCTAGAATGCAAAATATGTAGACATCCTTTAGCGAAAAAAAAAAATTAAAGGAATTCCAAACATTTAAATAAAATCAGAATAAAAAAATAACAAAGAAAAATAATAAATTTTGCTGTTTTTTTACGTGGGATAACAAAGTTTTCTTTTAACATTTAAAAAAAAAAAACCGTGTACGATCACATGCTGAAACAGATTATCAATAATTCATTTTAATTAGTAATTTGTTTGGCAATCTGTATTCCTTTACCTCTGCCTCCTTCCTCAATTTTTCCATTTTACAGTTTCTTATTATTGTCTACAATTTTTGAATAATTTGTCTAGTGGCACAAAAGGATTGCTTTTAAATTGATTAACTTCACATAATAGGAATACATTCCTTGGACCCATTGTTGCACTGGTTCTACTTCCACTACCTTTGATTCTACATTCCATGCCAATGAGAAAAAGAGTATTTTGCATGTTTACCCCGTAAATTTGTAGGGTTTTAGCAACTTGTCTCCTAAATTTTTAATTTTGATAATTTATCCTCTAAACTTGTAAAATTATTACAATGTGACCCATTTTGATAATAATTATCTTAAATTAGTGAGCAAAAAGAATTTTCAATGGAAAATACAAACATCCAATTCAAATTGTAATACAAACCTCACAATTCCTAACTCTCAAGTCCTTAAATTTGACCTAAAAAATAAAAATAGAGCAAAATTAGTAGAATGAGGCACATTGTAATAGTTTTGCAAGTTGGAAAGCAAATTCTTAAAATTAAAAGTTAATGAGGTAAGTTGTCAAAACCCTACAAGTTCATGGGCTAAATACACAAAATACCCAAAAAAAAAAAAAAAAAAAAAGGTTGTGTTTGGAGTTGTTTTTGTTTTTATTTTTCACGTTTTTCAAGAAAAAAATAAAAATGGGAGAGAAACGGCGTTTGGCACAATTAAAGACAAAAACGGAAATGAAAATAATTTTTGGTTTAGTGTAAAATGATAGAGAAATAAAAAATGATTTTTAGTCATTTTTCATTTTTTGTTTCCGTTTTCTCCTCTCTCGATCAGAGAGAGAGACATTAATATATTTTTTTATACTGAAAATAATCTCTTGATAAAACTATCAAACACATTTTCAAAAATGATTTATTTCTGAGATTGAAAACGTTTTCATTTTTATTTTCATACAAAAATACAAAATTATTTTAGAACGAGTTATAAAGGCACAAAAAATCAGTCAACTCATCAACTTATTGTTGAAAACACAAGGAAAACGTACACATTTCACTTCCGAAAACAAAAAATCCAAGATATTTTCCATTTACAGCTCAGTTCTTTTAGTTTACTTCTATAGAGATATATTATATTGTACCAAAATATATGAGTTGCAATTTGCAAACTAATCAAGGCTGTCCAAGAAGTGAAGGCCTGTAGAAAACATGGCTTTGTGCAATCTCAATTCGCTCCCTCGGATCGTTTAAGGTTTCATCCCTTAAGGCTTCAAGAATGGCTTGTGGTGACTGTTCCCTGGAAATCAAAAAAATAAATATTATTATTGAACTTGTGGATCAAAACAAATTCTGGGGCTACAAATTAATTTTGTATTTCATTAGCATTTAGCAGTAAGCAGACACATAACTTTGGTACATAATGTGGATGTGTATCATGGAACAAATTGGGTTAGAACTTTTACTTTCTGAACTTTTCGATGTTTTAAATTTTTTTTTTTTTTTTTGGTTGAAAATTAATCCTTGCATTTCAAAAAGATAACAATTACCACCAATCGTTAACAAAAGTTGTATTTTAGAGAAGTACTAAGGTGCCAAATACTAGAAATTCAAGGGCATGTGTACTAAAAATCTAGTTATTCCATCCACAATTTAAGACCTGTTTGGGAGAGGGAGAGCTTTCTAAACGCTGCTTTTAGCTTGTTGAATCCAAAAGCTGCTTTTGGAAGTATTGGACGATATGTCAAAAATAGAGGTGTAAGTTTGGGCCGGCCCAAACTTACAGCTCTAGTCAGAAGTACTTTGACTTTTCAGAAAAGCTTTTAGTTAAAGCCACAAAATGAAGCTTCTAAACAAAGTACTTTTGAATATACTTTGAAACTTACTAGGGTTTTATTAAAGTATTACAATCTTAATTCCAACGCTTTTATTGTTTAATAAAAAATTTAAAAATGGTTTTGACCCATTAAGTTTTTTTATTCTAAACACTTACTGAAAAACTATAACTTTTACTTTTTATTCTACTGACAAAAAGTAAAAGTAAAAACTCTATCAAACGGGCCCTTAATGTCCGTAAAAAATTGGAGTTGCATGCTATTTTCTTTTTGTTTTTGCAAATGTTTCAAGGACTAAATTATGAAGAAAAAAATTTTTGGGGATGAAAGCACCACACCATGAGAACTTTTTCCATATAGTTTGTAATTTTAGTAAGATACCCTATAGTTTTTCAGTAAGTCAACTCAATTTTAGGATATAATTTTTTTTTTTTGAAAGGGCTTATAATATTTGAGAATTAAGCAAGAAATCAAATAAGAATTAATGGTCAAGTTCATAAATTGCAGAAAATTACCCGGTTATCAGTATTTTGTATAGCGTCTTCAAGATAGGACAGAGCTGTACAGGAGCAACAGGCTTGTTCTCTTCAGGATGCAATACATTTAGGCTTGACTGACTTAGAAGTTCATAAAAAGCTCCCACTGCAGACACACCCTGGACACTCAGAGGCCACGGATTTGCATTAATATTATTAATCATAAGAGACTATAAATTAATAAGAAACTATGAAAATTATAATAATTGTCCTTAATTTTTTTTATTTCATTTGGTTTCACGTCGCTAAATCGACAATTTATCAGAGCAGCTTGATGATTTACCTTAGCACTTTTTTTAAAAAAAAACTTAGGATATGTTTAGTAGTGATTTTTGGAGCTTAAAATCAATTATCTAGCCTTCCATAACTCAAATTTGTGTTTGTTAAAAATCATAAAAAGTTATTCTTAAAGAATTTTTGAAGAATTTACAGTCAAAATCATAAGTAGCGCAAAGATAACTTTAACTTTTAAATTGTGCGGCAATCACCTTGAAGTACAATTAATGAAACATTCATAATACCGATAATACTCCTGAAATCAATACTTGTATAATTACAGTTTACCAAACACTAACTGCTTTTTGTAATAGCTGCTTTTAATTCAGCATAGCTAACAACAATTTTTTTAAAATTTACAGCACTACTAAACTGGCCCTTAGAAGTGGACAAATATGCAAAAAAAGAAAAAAAAACTTTTTTAAAAGGGGTCCCAAAATTTTGGTCATTTCTGCAAATATCCCAGAGGAAAGTGCTAAATTCCAATCTAAGTAATCCAAATTCCTCAGCTGATGCAACAAGGGTGTGTATTTAAAGGGAAAAAGCAGCTCAGATATTGCTCACACAGAAACTCATATTTATGGTCAGTTCTTATCATTTTAGCAAACACCACCCTAATTCCTTATGCAAATATCTTATCCTTCTTCTTGCCTTTCCATACAAAGATCAGCTGAAGTTTCAAGTTCTGCATTGTTCATTTTTAAAAAAGAAGTGCAGCGTTCTAAAGTTGGTGTTTACTTTTAGAACTTAAAAAGACTAATGTGTGTTACAACTTACATGGCTTCTAAAGAAAAGTAGTTAAGAGTTCGTTTAGTACGAGGATTCAAATCATGGTGATTCTGTGATTCTGAAATTAGAACCATAATTTACGATTTTAGGTTTAAATTATGATTTCTGAAACCTGATTTAAAATCAGGGGTTTGGATCACTTTGAATCAAGAGGGGGAGTGATTTTAGAATCATGAGTGATTTTAGTTTAAAACATCACATCAGATTCTGAATCATGATTTAGAATCATCCAAACCAAATATTGATTCAAAATCATGATTCAGAATCACTATAAACAAACACTGATTCTGAACCAAACTTATAACTCAGAATGAATACCTGCATTGATTCAAAATCATGATTCAGAATCACTGTAAACAAACACTGATTCTGAACCAAACTTATAACTCAGAATGAATACCTGAATCATCCCTTTGCCGCTGATACTATCGCCCATATCCCGGCTTAATTCGCCTTTTGCTATCATTTGGCCGTACCATGCATTACGCCCTTTCAACAAGGTTACGTATGTGTCCGCCAGCAAAGGCCCTGCAAGCCTCTCAGGCTCTTCGGACAACAAATGAGTAATGAATATCATCTCCGATGTACAATGCGCAAAATATACCGATTTGCTAGTAGCACTCTCCTTTGTAAGCGCCGCTACCATTCCTGAGAAGAACAAATTTATAAGTTAATTTCAGTGGCATTTACAATTTATGTCAAAAAAAAAAAATTTCATTTATTCACCTGCACCAATGGCATAGACATTTTTCAAGCCACCCATGACTTCATGTGTGACAAGATCACTATTGTCCCACACAATAAAATGGGGCTGCCTTAGAAATTTTGCCAGTGGTTTTCTCCACTTCTCAGCTCCACATAACCGAGCATTCGCGTATTCCTTGTTGTAGATCTCTGAAGCGATGTTCGGTCCACCGAGGTAAAGAATGTTCTCTATAGGGGTCCCAGCTACCATGCAAAATTTTTTGAAAGATTAGAGCATGTGGGGGAAATGGTTTTCTAAAATGGAAGTTGTAAATGAAAGAAAAGTTAGTGACCTCAATGAACACATGATTTTGGGTGAACTAACTTGGTTTCGTATTATATTGATGTAAGGAGACAAGCCTTTATCGTATAGAAGAAAACAGAACTATACTATTCTAGAGGTTTAATGTCAAAGAGTAATTTCTGGTATTTCTGGTTTTTCCCCTTAATTCAATGTCACAAAGAGCAATTTCTCAATAATGTTACATACAAAGATAAATCCATGATAGAGGTAAAGTAACTAAAATCTACGTTGCCTTGAAGTAAAAGTCACCTGGCTATATTATCTGCTAATATTGTTATAATATAACTATTGTTAGCGCACATTCTAATAGCTTAATAGCTTAAGTTTCTGAGAGAAATGGTGAAATAACAAATGCAGAAAGCAAAATCTATCTTTTCAGCTACCGATACTTACCATCACAAATAGTTATGCAAAGAAGGCAAAAGTGAACAAACATTAGAAACACTTTCTTCTTTCGAACAATACTAAACCTGCTATTTTGCTTTCTGCTTTGAACAATGTATCCAGTTTGGTCCCTTTTGAGCACAAAAGAAGAACTTAATTCCCAAAACCCCCCAAGTACTGCTATCTCATATTCTGTGTAAGTTTAACTTATCTAGATATATGATATCATCATCTCTAACATTTCACCAATGCATCTGAGATATAACAAAACTAACTAAAGCATTTTCTTGTGGGGTCCTTCACGGCACCTATGCCAGTCCACAGGTCTATCGTAACTTTTAAAACTTCAACATAACTTTCGAAGTTTGCAAGTTTTAATGTAAAATGAACAGAATATCTTATTTCCGACACTTAAAAGTTCCCCTTTTTTCGTTAGTCCTTGAGAGAACCAAAAACTACTGATAACAAGTTACAAGCCAAAGTTAAAAGGCAAAAGTCATAAAGAGAAGATTGTCCTGCAGAGTAAAAGGGAGGGAAAACTTACTTGCCCGCTTGATCATTTGCGTCGGAGTTATCAAATGCGGAACCGGTTCCAAAGCGGCCTCAATACCTTTAGCCAAAGAGATTATGATAGGCACTGTGATCCTTTCCTTCCAATACTTGCTAATCTCTTCGAAAACCTCTCTAGTCTCGGTCGAAGGCAAGCCATTCACCACAATGTCGGCATCCCAAACCGCCTCCTGCAAGTTCGTCACAACCTTCAAAGGACAGAGCGGGGTGTCGATCATGTTCAAGCAAAATCCGTCCTTCAAGATCTCATCCGCATAGAGTGTTCGATCCCCAAGCCTTGCCTCGACGTACTTTAGGTACGCGCATCGGCGGATCAACCTCCTAAGCACATCCTCCCTCGAGTTGATCACTTCAAAGAGGCGTTCCGCCGTCGCCCTATCAATAGCTCTTCCCGCCCTTCTCCATATCCTTATCTGCACCTTGTCCCGGAACTGTCCATAGCTATCTTGCAGCAGCGCGGCGAAAACGCTCCCCCAGGCGCCAGCCCCCACGCCAACAATCCTTAACGGATCACTATTGGTCTTCCCAAGAAAGGTTCTTAGCTCATCAAGCTTCTCTTCCAAGCCATTGTTGTTCTGCATAGTCCCGTTTAAGTACACATTTCGGTTCCTATTATCAATGCTTCCTACCATCTTTTATCCAACAAACTTTCCAAGATCAACAATGAGAAAGAGAATCTGAATCGCATCAACAATCTCTCAAGACTGAATACATTTATATGGCCTTACTTCCCTTTCAAAAAGACTAAATAATTGACATGACAAACTTCTGCTCCTATAAAATTCGGCCTCGTAATAAAAGAATAAGATATTGTTGGTAGATTTCTCTACCAAATCCAAAGCTAACTCTTAAACTCTTTTCCAATCAGATTTTTCCAGAACAACAAATCACAATTTTCCCTTGTATTTAAATTCAACAGAAACAATGTCATACTTGCAAGTCTCTTTTCTTAAAAAAAGGGTCATAAGCAGCTCATGACAAATATATAATAAATAACAAAAATAGATAACGCCAAGTTTTTTTTTTTTTCTTTGTTTTCTCCGTCAAAAACTGTCAAAGTTTGTTCATCTACCCAACTATAAACTTAACAAAACCAAAAGTAGAGAAATGGGATTTTTGAATTAAAAAAAAAAAGATAGAAAGTGAAAAATAAACCCAACCTCTTTCGTATCTGAAACTACAAAGTTTAATTTTTTGAAGGGTGATGCTAGAACAAGTCAATTCCTACCCACCAAAGGAAATGACCTTAAACTCTCAAAGCAGCCATTGTGACCAAAAGCCTTGAGAGGGATCAAATGGGAAAAGCACAAAAAAAGGGCATGTGGGGAGGTTTGAAAACAGAATTGAAACTAAGAAGAGGAGGCATTGATGAGTTACAGTTGAGTTTGAGTTGGGTGCCAAAGCATTTAAAGTTTTGGATGTTGCCAACTTCCCCAACGGTTATTAATGCTTGGATCACTACTCTGGACGGTTGCTTATCCCATGTGCTCTTCCACACCCCATCTTATATGATCTTAATTTTTTTTTTTTTTTTTTTTTTTTTTTTTTTTATGTTGTGTTAAAGTATAAAACTATTGTTGGCCCACCTCCTAATAGCTTAAGCTTTTGGGATGGATTGGTAAACTAACATGTTGAGAAAATAGATAAAATTATCAGTATCATCTCGTTATCCGTCATCTTCGTCTATAACAGAAATTTTCATCTTAATAAATTTAAGACAAAAAACGCATCACTTAATTGTATTTAAAAGATGGGCTCAATTTCCCTGGCAACACATAAACTTGGCATCACATTGTTTATAATTTATTGCCCAAGCAAGAATCTCAAAGTAAAGCTATGAAATATTGAACCTTAAACAAACAAACAAAAAATCATACTCATTACATCACAATCCAATCGCTACAACCACTATAAGCTTATCTTTCCATACTTCATTGACGAATTGAGCTCACATATCCTCTTTTGTGCCTCTTAATAAGATCATATTACGTTAATTAAAATATATTAATTAATATCCTTAATTGATATGATATAAGTTTTAATTGACGTGATATTTTAATTGATGTGTCATGATATTATTAGAAATATATAAAAAGAGATAAAAATAAACGGACGCATGAGTCTATTCCTTCATTGACCAAGCAAGAATCTCAAAGTAAAGATATGGAATATCAAACCTTAAACTAAAAAAAAAAAAAAAAAAAAAAAAAAAAAATTGTAATCACTGCATCGCATTACATTTGATAAGTAAAATACATGGCAATGTCTTTTTTGTTTTTAAGCACGTAGTACTTAGCAATGTCAATAATAAAGTGAAAACACTCAACACCTTAGGAGGGAAAAAAAAAAGAAAGAAAGCATATATTAGACCATGGAACTTTATTATTAGATGTAACTTGTGTACATGATAATGATAAAACCTTATTATTATTTTGACAGGTTTGTGAAGACGTCTACTTCTAAAATTCAATAATATATATTTCCTTATTACATCTGTGAATCCACGTGTTGCAGTTTATAAGATAAGGATGGCCCACGAAAGTTGGTACTTGTACCGTATGAATTATTGATTCAATGGAGCATAAAATTTGTCTAACAAGAAGCAACCTAAAAGAGTGATTCATGAGACATTTGATTCATGGATTAAAATTGTGAGATTAAAATTATTTTTAATTTATGTGTATTTTTTATGAGAAAAAATACTGTAACGAACTATGAATTATGATTCGAATCAAGGTACGAATCCCCTTACTAAACGTCACCTCAATCTTATTTACAAAAAAATAATAATAATAAATAAATAAGATTAGTTCACACTACAAAAGTTATTGCTCAACGCATTACAAAAGTTTAAATCTAGGAGATAGAATATGAAAATGCCAATATTATTTTAAGTTATATTAATCATTATTGATAATAGAATATACATCATAGTTGTAACTTGGCAATTTAATTTTCTGTCATTGTCATACACATTCATGAAATATCATCAAGATGATACCTATCAATGCTCAACAAGTAGGTATTGATAATTTGGTATATGCAAAAGAAACGTTTATTCCATGCAACTTTGAATTATTTGTTTAGGAAGAGCTGTCCCTATTCTTTAATTACATACTGGATCTTATCCGTGGCTCCTTTCCTCAATTATTGTTCTATTTCCCACATCTGTAATCTGTATGGGTATATTTGGTAGTAATTTTTAGAGCTTAAAATCAATTCTCTAGCAATCCACAGCTAAAATTTATATTCGATAAAAACTATGAAAAGTGATTCTTAAAGCATTTTTAAAGAATTTACAGTTAAAATCAGAAGCAGTTCAAAAATAAGTCTAGCTTTTAGATTGTGCAACAATCACATTAATGTATACTTAATAAAACTTTCATAATATCCCTAGAATCATTACTTATATAGTTACAGTTTACTAAATACTAAGCTGTTTTTTATAACAATTATTTTTTCTTTTTTCTTGATCTACTAGTATGAGGGAGGACGTCCTCCTTGGTAACACTTTTTCTTTTTTCTTTTTTCTTTTTGGCAAGAACTGCATAATATATGAAGCATTTTTTATGTGTTAAGAAGATTATAAGAACTTTTATGCAAAAGCAACTAAATAGAATCCATACAAAAGAAGAGCGCCAATACAAAAGGGAATGGCCTCAACATTTAAAAGATCAAAATAAATCTAGAGCAACATTCACTGCAATAAAATGAAAGAAATGCAACAAAAAAAATTGAAAATAAAACAAAGAAAATATATAAGTATAATATAAAGGATACCACAATATTATATGAGGTTATTGGTACGATAAATAATGTATAATACAAAGAATGTTTTATCCAATTAATTCTTCTTATGAAAAGTAAAAGAAAAGGAAAACAATAAGAAAGGGAGTTCCACAACATACAGAGCCATTATGAAGAAGCTTAGGCATTATTAAGAAGTTAAAATTTATGTGTGAGTTAAGAGAAAAGGCACAAATTGATGTGTTAGTTGTGAGAGAATGATTAAGCCATGTGGAGTACTAAATATGAATCATTAGAATAAATTAAGTAAAAAGAGAGTAAATTTGAACCATTGGATTTGTTCAATCCATGGTTGAAGTACAAAAACTATTCCCACTTCTATATAAATTATAGATTATAGATAATCTATCCACAACAATCTATAATATCGAAATGAGAATGAAGTCGCATTTTTTTTTTCACAAGTAATCTAATACATCATCCAATTCTTTTTTAACTTTAAGTGCATTGGTCAAAATTTATAAACAAGGGTTATATATACATTCTTTCATACTGCCGACTTTAACCTTGTTTATTTATTTTATTTATTTTTCTTTTTTTAACCTTTGCTTTTTAGCTTTTTGAATTTTATTAGTACAATTATTTGAATATTACATTAATACATTTCTATATGAGTAATATATTATGTTTATATATTAAAATTACATTTGTTGATTGATTGGTAATAACAATATATTAATACCAATTGGACTTTAATATTCATTTGTTGATTGATTGCTTTTTTTTTTTGCTTTCAAGTTTTTTTTTTTAAATTATGTTTTTCAACTTTTTTCCTTCCCATTTTCTTTGATTGTATTTTAAATGTTGTGTTTTTTTTTCTTCTTCTTTTTTAAATCTTGTACTTTTTCATTGTTTCCCATTGAAATATTTTTTTTATTAATTTTCTCTTTAAACACCTCATTTATTGTTTTTTTATACTCACTAATGAATATATACTTATAGTAGAGAAGATATATATATCTTCTAAATTTTTTTTCAACCATCATTATGCATAATATGAAATCGTTAATTTTCATAGATCTATAATCTTTTTTATGTTAAAATTTAAAACTTATTATGCGGAATTTTTTTATAAATATCAATTTTTAGTTTTAAAAATAATTATAAATTAGCTATATTTATTCAGATTTTTCATTATTAGAACATTGTTAGCATCCCTAAAAAAAAAATATAGTCGAGAAGATGTATCTATTTTTTTCAACTATTATTATGCATAATATGAAATTATTGATTTTCATACAACCACAATTCTACTTAGGTTAAATTTAAAAACTTTTGAATAAGTTCACACTGTAATTGTAAAAATTTTTATGATATCATTTTTTTAGTTTCAGTTGGTTATATTTATTTATGCTTATTGTTATTAAAACATTATTGGCATCCTTAAAAGGTGAGGAAAAAAAACATTGTTAGCATGTCTTGTTCAAGTTCAACGTAAGTTATTACTTGAATTATCAGCAAACTTATTTATTTATTTTCATAGAGAAACTATTAAAAAAATATTTGTATGGAAAAATGACTTATTATATTTAATAATTTTAAATAAATTTTAAAAAAGACATGTAAATTGCAAAGTGAAAAAAAAAACGTTACTAACGGGGACGTGCCTAAGGCACGTCTCCTATGCGAGTTATTTAAGAAAGACGAGAAAGTATAAAGAGAATATGTGATAAGGTATAAAAAAATTTATCAATAAGAAATAATTTGTAACCGTTAGATTACATTAAAATCGTATCAAATTAGGAACCACTATAGTTATGAAATTGCTATTGCATCAAATACTTGAATAACAATTCTTAAAGTGAATCTGTTGAAAAGCTGGTATTAATTAAAATTCTTTCTTCCTAAATTATTCTCCCAACGTTATAAAATTTACTTTACATACCCATTTCACCATCCCAACTTTAAAACATTATTAATAATTAAATTAAGGGGTATTTTAGTTAATATATATATATATAGATCTGTTGAAAAGCTGGTATTAATTAAAATTCTTTCTTCCTAAATTATTCTCCCAACGTTATAAAATTTACTTTACATACCCATTTCACCATCCCAACTTTAAAACATTATTAATAATTAAATTAAGGGGTATTTTAGTTAATATATATATATATAGCATTCTATTTCAATGACTAAGCAAACATAATAATTGTAAATCCAATACTAATTACAATGCTCAACCAAACAATAAAAATTTGAATACATCATTTGATTAATCCCTATTTTCATTCTATTTATATTCCTATTTCTATTGTTATTTTCATTCTATTTCATCAAACCAAACGTCGACTAAAATTTTCTTTGGGAGAAAGAGAGAAATAGGCCAAGACTTGAGATGAATTAAAATTAATATGCCAATAGTTTACATAAGTTAATAAATAGGCAAAATGACTGCTTTTGTCCATAACTTGTCTAGTTATGAACCATAACTTGACAAGTTATTGTCCATAAATCACGGTTTTTATCCATAACTTGTCTGGCTATGAACCATAACTTGACAAGTTTGTCCATAACTTATCTGGTTATGAACCATAACTTGACAAGTTAT